TCCCCCTATTTTTCCAGGCCCTGCTGTCTTTTCTATTGCCAGGACAGAGCCGACTGAGAGGGCAAATTGAAGAGGCTCTGGACCTCTCATTGATCCAGCAGGAGGCTGAGAACGGAGCTCTAGACATCAGTAAGGTAGCTCAGTTCATAACTGACATGATGGGCACCTTTTGCGCACCCTGCCGTGATGAAGACATCAAACAGCTGCGTGAAATCACTGACATTGTGCCCCTTTTTAAGTAAGTCACTTAAACAGATCAAGGTGAAGGTCACGTGACTCCAATTCCCAATAAAATCATGTTTCTTTGCAGGTCTATATTTGCAGTGCTGGACAAAATGAAGATCGACATGGCCAACTTTGCTGTGAGCAGCCTGCGACCTCACCTCTTTCAGCAGTCGGTGGAATATGAGCGGAAGAAATTCCAGGAGTTCCTAGAGAAACAACCCAGTAAGAAAAATCAATTACTTGTATAGTAATTATACAAAATCAATGAATGTTATGTTATGCAGGGATAACATTGGATTAAAAAAACATGGATAAGCTTCTTGCACTTTAGTAAATGCTAATCTCTTTAATTGAGTTATGTATTCATGTTTGCAGATGCATTGGATTTCACAAAGAAATGGCTCCAGGACACAGTAGATTATGTAACCGGTGGAGGAACAGAGGGTGGAGCAACATGCACACCAAATTCTGCTCAACTTCCTCTAACTATACACAATCATGCCTATTTATGCCTGTTAAAATGGGACCATGATACTGAGTCTTTTCCGGAGGTAATGTATTATTAGTGATAAGTGATGTTTGGATCTATTAATTTATTAAAAAAATGTATTATAAATGCAATTCATACATAAGATACCTCTTGTTTCTAATTTCTCAATTAAAATAAATGTTTGTGGAAAAAATACTTTAGGTATTTTTTGGTGTGCATGTTGGTGTGCATGAAAAAATACTTTAGGTATTTTTTGACCGGCATATGGCCAAACTATCTTGAAACAAATGATCTGATATCATAATGAAGAATTTTAACAATTAATGATATTTGTTTAAAAAAAAGCTTTATTCTTTTGGGGTCATTCATTAGCTTTTGTTTTTTAATTCATGGGAAATTGAGTATGAATCCAGTAAATTAATCAAAAGTGACAGTAAAGGCATTTACAATGTTACAAAATCTCTATTTCAAATAAATGCTGTTTTTTTTTTTTACTTTCTATTCATCAAAAAATTCTGGAAAAATGTTTATGGATTATGTCACATTAATACATTACATTTTAAAATATATTAAAATAGACTGTTCTGGATGCGATTAATCGTGATTAATCGTTTGACAGCACTAAAATATATATATATATATACAGTGGTGTGAAAAAGTGTTGGTGATTTCCTGAGTCCTGAGTCCTGATTTCTTATTTTTTTGCATGTTTGTCACA